GACGACACATATAGGTACGTAGTTCAATAGGTTAAAATGACTGATTGATTTATGTTCATGCGCTTGCACGTACATGAAGTGTTATTATATCTGACTTTATAAAAACTAATCTATAGTTTTTCTAGTTACTTACAGTGGACAAAGTGGCACATTGGTGGCAATTATGATATGCCAATGACAAAATAATAAGAAATTAAACAGTTGGCTCGCTTGCAGATGTGTCAGATTACCGTTCAGGATGTTTGGTTGGAGGGCATGTTAAAGACATAGCATCACCAAGAGAACAGCCTCATAGTGTACAATACACACCAAAATCTGTCCTTTTAGTCACCAAATATGTGGGCGTCACTTTGTCAAACTAACCGTTACACAATGTAATCATTTATTAGAGTCAGACTTGCCACGTTGTCTCCATTGTGAAAAAGCGCGACCCGAGTAGAAACATGACACTAAACTGGTAGCTGTTTGTGCGTGTTCAAAACAAGACCATGTTTTATATTTACCTTGCGCTCCCTTCACCATTGTACTTCCAGGTGGCATAAGAATAGCATCAGGGGTGTACACGTCCATCATGGTTTTAATATCACCTACTTTAAAAGCATCAGCATATTGGTCAAACTTCTTTTGTATCTTGATCTGAATATCACTTATGGTCGCCATTGCAGTCGGTGACTCCTAATTGAACCCTGGTCATGTGACATCAATATTATGACAATAAGGAACACCTGCAGTACGATTTACTATGCTCGATCTTCAGTTAAAATATAACTCCAATGTATACCATAATTAACGATATATACCATAATATCATAATAATAATTAACGGTGGCTATTCTAATGTGTGCAGGCATTATACGATTACAATTCTGGCATGAAGCCTGTACATCGATTCTTATGTTCACATTCTAACTGTACTTCATATAATACAAAGTAGTAGTATCATATACTGCCATTAAACAAATTTTAATTTTAAATATATATTCGAATAAACATTTTCAGTTTGGTAATAAAACATTTTCTAGGTGTTCTTCAAATGATATGGTAAATTATATTGATTATCACCTGTTCTAATTATTTCTCGTTCATTTTTAAGTTTATGTTAAACATGAGCACTACCTGTACTAAAACTAATGCGTATTTCCAATTAATATTTTACGAAACAACTACATGCCCTTGGACACAAAACATCTGTTTATCATTACAATACTTTTTGAACAAAAACGTGTTTTTTTTCATGAGTATGTCACTCTCTCATGGTAGAAATAGCAAACACTACAACAATTATATTTATACCAATATTGGTACTATTGTCTTTAAAATGGTACAAATGAACATTGAATTATTTGAAGATATAATACGAATCATTCTATAATACTTCATGTTCATTTTATGTTCATTTTATGTTATGAAAGTTAGTTTGCACACATTTAACTTGTGAATTACGTCACAACCACAAATTTCAACCGACATGAAATAGTTGCTTTGTACTAAATAGAATTGTTAAACAAGTATACGTTTTGTTTTAATGAACAATTCTATACGCGGAACATGTATAACGTTGAACAGTTACTACTTGTTATGTCAATTTCGCAACTTAATTTGAAGTCAAGGGTGTTTTCACCGCATTTTTTTTTCAAATATTTGCTACAACGGTGACAATCTAATGATTAAGTAATTGAAATGCCATTGCAGTGAATTACCCCTTTACATCGCTGAGGGCGATATACTACTCGAAAAGCACATTACATATATTAATAACTCTTTTATCATTGAAAATCTACCTTCCTGTAATTATAGTTAATAATATATTGAACAACCTAAAAAACAGATCACAAAGTTTCACAAAGGGGTATGTAGTACATGCTGTCGCCACTCGATCACCGGTCACTAGCAATTTGAAAAAAGAACATTCAGCAATATTCGAATATTCAAAATCAGTCATTTATAAAGATCAAAGGTTACCTGGATAATAATAGCTTAACACGAATACGAGGGTCTCTTCGTTTATTGTATTGATTTGTCATAGCTATCTTGTATGCTTTATCATTTTCTCATGACAAACCACGTGACAAGGGAACACCCATAGAGATCGGTAATAGATCAATCGGCATACATTCTACCTGCTGTGGTAGAGGGTGAATCTGGTCAATTGCGGACGTTGTACATTGGCTAAGGTTGCACAGTCTTAAGCATTGTCTTGTTTACAATATATTTACAGTTATGTATGTAATACAATATAATATCGGGTCACTCAATGCAAATGAGTACAAAGTGTTTACAATAAGCATACACTCATGTGTTTACAGAAATAAGGGAAGTGGTCATGGTCACGTGACGAAAGTGTTATGAATACAAACTATTGCTGGTGGAGGGTGATCATACAGTCAATAATAACAGCGCGATGGGAGTCAGCATGTGTCTCTCTAGTGCCAGTGTAGAGTCACATCTGTAGTCTGTACACACAATTAACTATAAGCAACACTTTCATGACATCACGTTTTTGTGGTGTTAATAATAAATACTATTTTGCCAAGACAGTTCTGAATATCTATGTGAACACGTAGGTTACGTATAGTATGTCGTCTTACTACAGGACCCCCTACGGGACAGGACCATATCACAGTCCTGTGACTGTGGACCATATGTACTATTTACCACATCACAAATCACGTATTCAGCCGCCATGCCCTCATACGGCTTTATAAATTACGTTTATCAATGAAATAATACGTGCCCGTGTCAATGCAAATATGATGCGTGAAATGATGAGACGGATGTAGTACACATGAAACCAGTTTATTTTCTTTGAAAGAAAACATATGACAACAATTTCATTGCGTCGGTTACAAAATGAAATGCACGATCATTTTATATTTTGCAATGTGTCTTCAAAGTAAGCACACCAAATATGGTTTGATGCTTACTCGTCATATAAAATGTAGCCATAGTGATAAGAAGAATTAATCTGGTATGATGAACATATGTAGTGTATAGAACAAATTATAACTAAACTCAGTTAATAATTGAACACAGTTACAAACTTATGTGTCCATAATGGAGGAAATTATAAATGTCATCTCGCAAGCCTCCATGAGTGTAGATGTCTGTATAATCATTGATACGTATATATGGAGTACCAGTTGCATCGACAATGAATCTCTCTTTGAATGTCCATCGAATGTCATTGCTGTTGAAAGGGTTCCAGTG